CTGTGTCGTAATTTTAAAAACATGAATGACCACCAAAAGACAATTTTTCTATTGACGAGTGAGGGGATCATATTAAAAGAATCTGCTGACATGATAAAGTATCTAATGATGGGTAGAGACAGGATTCTTATATCAAAGTAACATTTTATATGTCATTTGAAGAATGTAATCCTATTTTCTTTACTTTATTGCTATATTTACTGTTATTGAAAATTGTATATTGGATGTACGTTTGGCCCTAAAAGGGCATCAGTACTAATAAAACCCTATTATTATTATAAGTGTAAAACCTTACAAAATTTAGACAATCAATTTAATGGTGTTTCATTTAAATGTGAAATAAAAGTTGGTTACATATAAGAAATTACCCTCATAAGACATTGTTGCAAGGTGTGTCGCAATGAATGAGACACCCCGCATTCCCAGTTCCGCATTATATTGATGGAGTATAGATAGTTATTTTATATAGTGTTTTTAGTTGTATGTGGAAACCTATTTTAACCAGGAAGGATGTTGCAACTTTTTTCAAGATCCTAAAGTTGCAATTTTCATTATTGTGTTGCTTTGTAAAGACGCACTGTGAAAGTGTGTTGCTGGTATAAAGGCGTAGTTCTAACTAAATGAATAAATACCCCTTGTTAAAAAACATTTGGGATGATACATATAATTTACAGAATGGCAATAAGCTTCGAACATACAGATTGTTTAAATATGGAGTAGTTAATGAACCATATGTATCTGAATACATTCCAAGGCATCACAGAACCATTCTTGCTAGACTGAGAACAGGTAGCCTCCAACTTCACATTGAGACAGGTCGTTGGTCAAGTATAGCACTGAATGATCGTACATGTAAATTATGTGATGGTAACTTTGTTGAAGATTAAATTCATTTTGCTGTCCAATGTAAACATATTCCAACTTGAGAACACATTTTTATTGAACTATAACTGATATTTTAACACCACATATAAGAACAAACACTGACAATGAGTTACTTTTATTTATAAGCCTCATGCATTCAACATCAATTCAGAGACAGTGGACTGCTCTGTTATACAAAATGTTTATGAAAAGGCAATTTGACCTGGAACGGTTGGCTGCAGTATAATAATTTGCCATATTATCCCTATGAACCATATTTATTGCAATGTGGGCCAAACCTCCATACCATTTTGTAGTCAACACTCTAGTTATTATGATATAAGATAACATGTAAATCATTTATCATAATTTATAGATGGAATTATTACTATTTATCTATCTATGTATTATTGTACTTGTAGATGAACTGTAGTTTTATTGTTGAATGTCATATCTATATAAACACTGTTATTATTGATCTTTAAGGGGCGGGGTCAAAATATCAATGTTCATATGGAGACAAAAGTAATTTCGTTTGGACAACAACCCCCCCACCCCCCCTCTAGACGAAAGCTTAGGTCACTTCAAAAAAACATTGATTTTCAGTATCCTATTTGCCGGGTTATTATTACGGTGAATTAACACACATTCGCAATTTAACTGCATTGAACTCTTCAAAAGGAGGAGGATTTATTTGAAAATTTTATTTTATTGAAAACAAGCCTTTTTATCAGAACATAGCGCCAGAAAAAGTGGGTAAGTCCAATTATTTTTTGTATATCAGATCCGAATTATCGATGTTTTTTGGTCAACGAAAGTGCCCAAAAACCCCCCTCCCCCCCTCGCGAAAGTACTTTCGTCTCCATATGAACATCGATATTTTGACCCCGCCCCTAAAGTCCATTGTCTCATAAGCCGACATCGGCTGGTGGTTTTTTAGAATATGTATTTATTTGTACCAAATGTAAACCAGTGACACTATAATAAATTATTTTAATAAAAATAAATAATAAAAGGGAGGTTAAAGAGAGAATCAGAGATAGCGAGCAGCCTAACAAAAAATTGTATCAATTTGAAAGTATTTCTGGCTTATGTCATTCCTTTTCATGTCTATTTTCTAAAAATCCCCAAAGTGCACACTTTATTTCAGGAAAACTAAAGATTTTTACAATAATGTGTTATTTTTCTATAAGAATGGTTACCATTCTTATTATTTGGGAGAATTTAAACATTTTTCACCCATTTTTGCACCTTGAATCCACCAAAACTTCACCAATTTATTATATATCAAAAATCTTTTGGGAGATATTGTAATTGAGATGGTAATGAATAGATTGGTAGGTCAATTAAACATGTTGCTTGTAATTTTGTCACCCCCATAGATCTGATTCTGCCTTTAAGATACCTGTTTTTTAACTTGTACGTGAACGTGTAGAATTATGGACCTGATGGATTAGTGACTCCCTTTTGTTCTGTTAATACTTGGCTGGTTGAGTATAAAGGTATACATGCCCCAGCTTTTGGTAAGGGGGGTCAAACCTCCCCCATCCACACATACACTTTTTATCATGCTTAAGTATCTTCACATTGTAATTACAAGGGTGTTATTAACGAGACACCAGGATGCTAAGGGAGGGGTCCAATATATTTCCGCGCTTGCGTGGAAGAAAATTAGGGCTCAAACCTTGAGAAAGAGTCGAAGGCATGCAAGGCGAATCCTGGAAACTCGGGTTCGGGAAAGCTGAGCTCACTGTTTGTTTCTGTTGACACCTTTGCGAAACTACATTCATAATTTATACGACAGTGAACAGGAGATTTACAGTCAGACCCGGGTGTGCCAATCACTTATTTAAATGTGTGTTTTGCAGACCAGGGTTTAAGGCCATTCCAAACGAAATAAGTGTCTAGTGAGGCCATGAAATATAAAACTTTGTTTTATTAGAATTTTATACCTGTCATTTTGTATCTATCAAGACATTTAACATATTAGAAATAGTCATGGTATTATGATTGGTCTAAAATATGCAAAGCTAGAAGACCCCTTATACTCATTCGTTCTCTATTTTGACTAAGATGATATATATATATCAGTACAACGGCTACTAAAACAAGGAAAAATTGGCCAGTAGAGATGAGCAACTTGAAACATATTTATTTTTATTCAAAAATATGGAATAATATTTTATTTAAATACAATTCCGCGCTATTACAATCCTCCAGTGCTGACAATATCTCAGTCTGGGTCAAAATCTTACAATATAGTATTAATAATGAAGAGCCCTTCTAATAAAAGCAATTAAATCCAGGTTTGAAAACTCCCGAAAATAACACGAAACGACTCTAATTATGAACCATTCACATTTTTGCAAAGGCAGATTTTGATGACGACGGACCCGGGTTTTGAGGGTGCGACTTATAGCAACGAGTGCTTCTGCAAACCTTGAGAAAATACGTCCAGTAATGCCCAATTTTTAAAAAATGCATATCATTTGATTGATTTAGAAGGAACAAAACTCCGATTTTTTATTTACTACCTACACTAAAAGTCTATTTTCTCCACTTGGTCACTCTTAGATTGAGCCAAGTATTGGATCATTGGAGGGAATTTTTATCAATTTTTCAAAGGGTTAATTTTATTCTCATTTGTCTAAACAAAACAGGAATATCCCAGAATTCATAGAATCATACTTCTCTCATGTAAACTATATCATTGTTTGGCCAAGGGTTCATCTATGATTCTCCTCTGGATGTAAAGCGTGGGAACATCTGACATAACCAGTTCCCATGGCAGTGATTCACCTGTTTAATCATTTCTCTGGAATGATGTACACTCTCCTCCAAAAGATACACTCCCCTCTAAAAGCTACTGAAATCACTGGCTGGGAATTGGTGTTCACTTACACACAGGTGTTCAATAGAGTAGACTTGTGTGTTCACTTGGCACAGATCTTCACTAAAGAGGTGTTCGTCATGACAGTTTTACTGTACAGAAATCACTCGCCGGGAAAGTATATACAAAATTGGAATGTGTGTATCCTGCCACCCCTGCAAAATAATAGACTAACTCACTTGGTCTCTTGGATCCACTTGCAAAATATATCAGGCCCGTAGCCAGGGGGGTTCGCAGGGTTCGGGCGATCCCCCCTGGCCAAAAATTCTTTCAAAATCATGCAGTTTTTCACCATTTTGAGCACTTCTCAAGTGATTTAGCCATATTTGGGCCAAAATTGTCAATTGTGAACCCCCCCTGGAAATTTTTGAAAAAAAAAAAAAAATGAACCCCCCTTGGCAAATCCTGGCTACGGGCCTGTATATATAACCATTTTATGCACTTGTATGAAATTGAAACTTGCCTTAGCTAATGTTTGTATTTGATGTTACATTTATTTAGTTAATTTGTTTTAATTATCCCAATGAAAGAAGTTTGGAGGGATATGGGGAATAAACGTACGTCTGTCCGTCCATACGTCTATCCGGGCAATAACTCAAATACCGTTGGACCGATTTTGTTCATATTTTGTACACATATACTCTATGGGGGTAGAAGTTCTGCTCAAAAGCTGATTTTCAAAATGGCCGATCATTTAAAAATGGCAGCCATTTTAGTGCCTATTTTACAGTTATTTAGGTGCAATATGTAAACTGTAATAGCAATATGTTTTAAATGTAAATAAATTAAATAGGACATTAATAAAGCTAGAAATGTAGATATTTAAGAAACACATGGCAGCCATCTTGAAAAGCCTTTACTCGTTATTTTTACGATTTTTGCTGTAACTCGAAAAGTAGTAGAGCGATTTTGTTCATTTTTGGTATGTGAATACGATAAGCATGGCACACTGTCTAAAGACACTTTTGGTTGAAGGCAGCCTATTTGAAAAATGGCCGCCATTTTAACGTTTTTTACTATAACTCGAAAAGTAGTGAAGCGATTTTGATCATATTTGGTATTTGAATACTGTAAGCATGGCACACTGTCTAATGACACTTTTGGTTGAAGGCGGCAATTTTGAGAAATGGCCGCAATTTTAACGTTTTTTTTATTATAACTCGAAAAGTAGTGAAGTGATTTTGTTCATATTGGTATTTGAATACTGTAAGCATGGCACACTGTCTAATGACACTTTTGGTAGAAGGTGGTCATTTTGAAAAATGGCCGCCATTTTAACGAATTTTACTACTATAACTTGAAAAGTAGTGAGGGATTTTGTTCATATTTGGTATGTGAATGCTTTAAGCATGGCACACTGTCTAAAGACACTTTTGGTAGAAGGTGGCCATTTTTCAAAATGGCTGCCATTTTAACATATTTTACTATAACTTGAAAAGTAGTGAGGGATTTTTTCATATTTGGTATGTGAAGCCTATAAGCATGGCACACTGTCTAAAGACACTTTTGGTAGAAGGCCGCCATTTTTCAAAATGACTGCCATTTTAATGTATTTTACTATAACGCGAAAAGTAGTGGAGCGATTTTCTTCATATTTGGTATGTGAATACTATAGGCATGGCACACTCCGTCTAATGACACTTTTGGTAGAAGGTGGCCATTTTGAAAAATGGCTGCCATTTTTGCTATATACCTTGTTTGTAAATATGCCAGCCATGGCTGTTCGATGGGATTTGCTACGCTTTGGCGTTGCTGTTGTCTAGTTAGTTATGAGGACATTTGTTTTAATTTGAAGAGTATAATTTCTTATTGTTTTCTTTTATCGTTTTACAATAGAATAATTGAATTTTAAATTTCTTTCCAAGTTAGTCACACTAACCTAATTGTATACATATTTATCAAATAACTGCTTTCAATTTTTAACATGGTGAGAAAACTTCAATTTTGGGTCTGATGAAAATCGAAATCATTGCATTGCATCTAGTTTACATCATCAAGCTAAATATAATTCTGCCATAACTTTCACTATTTGATTGACAGCTCTATTTTTGTACCTTCCATATTTGGGAGTGAAATTGATGTCTTATGTTAAAACTCCAAGGTCAAGCTGATCTGGTCACTCTCTAAGACATTTTAAAAACTGAATATTGACTGAAATTGATAGATTCTATCTTCATTTTTCTCACATGAAACATATTTATAGACAAATTGACCTTTAAAATCATGTTTAGCTTTCTAACATCAGCCCATTGGAGAGGTTTTTATTATAATCATTGTTATTTGAAAGGATGTGTTTTGAGTATTTTAAAGGGCTACTTTGATAAAGAATTTCAATGGAAAGAACAGCTTTACAATCTTCAAAGGATTCAGGGTTTCATTGAATTATCATTATCTTATGCAATTGTGCGTATTGGTTACTTAGGATACATTCAGTTGATATTGTCTCTGGGAATAAATGCCTTTTTTCATTTGCAGACAATACAATAAACTTTTTACAAACCATTTTGCACAAATGATAACCATTAGTAAAAGTTGCTATTTCATTGATGAGTTCACCTTAAAAGTTTTGGGAAAACAACTAGTCCATCAGCCTGGGGGGTTGGTCGGTATCAAATCAGGGGAATAATTACAACAGTGATTTTTGGGACGGTGTAGACCCCTAGAGTAAGAAAATATGTGATAGCATTGCAACAGTTGTAGCTAAATGGGTGTTATCTCCCATTTTTCAAAATGGCCGCTGGTGCTCATGTTACATTATAAGAGTGGGTATATTTAAGCATACTGAGATGCTAAAACAGTGATTGTAGTACCTATATTTGGGTTTTAGGAGTAAAGGATTACATTTATAACTACATCTGAGTCATCAAACAATTACTTTTTTTAGAAATCCAAGATGGTCGCCAAAATGGGTGCCAAAACAAATGTGTAACTATTGATTTAGGCTCAGAGACGCTTAAGAACAGTGATTTGGAGCAATTTGTACAATTTAGTGGTCAATGATTTCATTTATCTCTAAATCGATGTCATCAAATAATAACTTTTTAAAGAAATCCAAGATGGCCACCAAAATGAGTGCCAAAATGAATATGTAAGTATTGATTTAAGCTCAAAAGCACTTAAGAGCAGTGAATTTGGAGCCCATGTCTATGTTTTTGGGACCAAGGATTTTATTTCTGTCTAAATCTGAGTCATCAGTAATTACTTTATATAGAAATCCAAGATGGCTGCCAAAATGGGTGCCAAAATGAATATGTAACTTTTGATTTAAGCTCAGAGAACAGTGATTTTGGAGACAATGTCTAGGTTTTAGGGGTCAAGGATTTCTTTTATGCCTAAATCTGAGTCATTAAATAATTTCTTTTCATAGAAATCCAATATAGCTGACAAAATGGGTGCCAAAACGAATATATAACTATTGATTTAAAGCTAAAAAAACACTTAAGAACAGTGACTTTGGAGCCCATGTCTACATATTAGGGGTCAAGGATTTCATTTATGCCTTAATCTGAGTCATCAAATAATTAATTTTTAATAGAAATCCAAGATACCCACCAAAACGGGTGCCAAAATGAATATGTTAGTATTGATTTAAGCTCAAAACACTTAAGAACAGTGAATTTTGAGCCCATGTCTACGTTTTAAGGGCCAAGGATGTCATTTATGTCTAAATCTGAGTCATCATATAATCACTTTTTGTAGAAATCCATGATGGCAACAAAAATAAGTGCCAAAACAAATATGTAACTTTTGATTTAAGCTCAAGGAACAGTTAGCAGTCATTTTTGAGACCATGCCTAGGTTTTAGGGGTCAAGGATTCCATGTATGTTATAAATCTTTGTCATCAAATAATTACTTCATATCGAAATCCAAGATGGCCACCACAATGGGTGACAAAATGAATATGTAACTTTTGATTCAAGCTCAAAGAACAGTACTTTAATTGAAGCAGCCAAAGTGTAAAACCATGATCCTATTCTTGATATTGCTAAAGAGCTGAAAGACTAACTTCCAAGAATATTCTATCATGGAAGTGTGGAAGCCATGAAAAGGATCTGCATCGAGACTCGGATAAAAGCAGACGAAATATATATATATATATATATATATTATATATACACGCCCGGTGATCGTGAAAATGGGACGGAGGGGGGGGGGGGGGAGCAGGCAATTTCCGCTAGGAAATTCAACAAATCTGGTAAAATTATTTTTTCAAGACAGAGTTTACGATTGAATTGCAAATTGAATAAGCGCACGGTATGATAAAATATGTTAGGTATTCTAGGATTATTTTTCAACCGATACTCTTTTAAGATATAAGATCTATTAAAAAAGGCGCGACGCAACCAACGTGCAAAAGTCAAAGTTTTTGTTATAAATCAAGCAACAATGGACTACACGACCTGTAATAAATACTTGTAAGTGATGTTATCATAACTAAATTAATGTCATTGCTGAATTTATGAAATAAGTTTCCATACGTAAAATAAAAAATAATCAAAAATAATTAAAATGGGACGGAGGGGGGAGGGGACGGAGGGGGGGGGGGGGAGTGATAATTCTATAAAGTGAAACAAATTCACACGAATTCTTGTATTTGAAAAATGAACTCATTAACTTAGTAAGAAACTGGATGATATACCCCTGGAGGAGAAGTCTCACATATGTGAAAAACTTAAAAAGGAAGTACAAATGAGAGCAGACCAAAAACTAAGAGACTGTGCAATCAAAAGGAGATGAGAATACCATTGTATCAAAAATGATGGTTCTTAGTGATCCGTGTGCTTAAATCAATAGTTAGGCTACATTTTAATTTTTTTTATTTTGGCAGCCATCTTGGACATCCATATAAATAAATTATTCAATGATTTTATTTGACAAAATTAAAATCATTGACTTCACAAATTAGAAATGATATCCAAAAATAATGTCCTAACTGCTCTATGTTTAGATCAAGAGTTACATATTCACTTCTGCAGCCATTTTGGCGGCCTTCTCGATGTCCAAATGAAGGAATTATTTTATGACTTAGTTATACACCTAATTGAAATTCTTACCCCATTAAACCTTGTCATAGTGTCTAAAATCACTGTTCTGAACTGTTCTGAGCTTGAATCAATAGTTACACATTTGTTTTGGTACCCATTTTGGTGGCCATCTTGGATTTCTATAAAAAGTAATTATTTGATAACGTAGATTTAGACATAAATGAAATCCATGACCCTTACATAATATGCATGGTCTACAAAATCACTGTTCTTAATTGTTCTTTGAGCTGAAATCAATAGTTACATATTTATTTTGGCACCCATTTTGGTGGCCATCTTTGATTTCTATATAAAGTAATTGTTTGATGACTTGGATTTAGAGATAAATGAAATCCTTGACCCCTAAAACTTAGACATGGTGTCCAAAATCACTGTTCTCAACTGTTCTTTGAGATTAAATCAATATTTACATATTCATTTCAGCACCCATTTTGGTGGCCATCTTGGATTTCTTTAAAAAGTTATTATTTGATGATAAATGAAATCATTGACCACTAAATTGTACAAATTGCTCCAAATCACTGTTCTTAAGTATGTTTTTTAGCTTAAATCAGAAGTTACAAATTCGTTTTGGCACTCATTTTGGTGCCCATTTTGGATTTCTATGAAAAACAATTATTTAATGACTCAAAGATTTAGACATAAATGAGATCTTTGACCCCTAAAATGTACACATGGGCTCCAAAATCACTGTTCTTAAGTGTTTTTTTAGCTTAGATCAGAAGTTACATATTCATTTTGGCACTCATTTTGGCGGCCATTTTGGATTTCTATGAAAAGTAATTATTTAACAACTCAAAGCTTTAGACATAAATTAAATCTTTTACCCTTAAAATGTAGACATAGGCTCCAAAGTCACTGTTCTTAAGTGTTTTTTTAAAACTTAAATCAGAAGTTAGATATTCGTTTTGGCACTCATTTTGGTGGCCATTTTGGATTTCTATGAAAAGTAATCATTTGCAAACTGAAAGGTTTAGACATAAATGAAATCCTTGACCCTTAAAATGTAGACATGGGCTACAAATCCACTGCTCTTAAGTGTTTTTTGAGTTTAAATCAATAATTACAAATTCGTTTTGGCACCCATTTTGGCAGCCATCTTGGATTTCTATGAAAATTAATTATTTCATGACTCGGATTTAGACATAAATGAAATCCTTGACCCCTAAAACCCAAACTAAGATCCTAAAATCACAGTATTTGTATCTCAGTATGCTTAGTTATACCTACTATATATTGTAACTCGTGCACCGGCGGCCATTTTGAAATATGGGTGATAACACCCATTTAGCTACAACTGTTGCAATGCTATTACATATTTTCTTACTCTAGAGGTCTTAACCTTCCCAAAAATCACTATGGCGATTATTCCCCTAACTTGATACAGATAACCCAAATTTTGGGGTGAAGCTGATGGCCTAAACCAGTAAATACAATCCAAAACGATTTTTTTCGGTATACCAATAAAATTTGTTCACGATCAATGTGATTTTTCAACTTATTTTAAGAATAACTCAAGTATACACATACAACAATACAACGGAGTTACCCGTATCCCTGTGTGGTGTAAAAAGTTGCCCCCTCCCCCAAATCCTTAGTTGTTAACTTTACATACAGCATATTTATTGGTACTTTTTGAGCACCCTGTGTTATTGTTGACAATTCATTGCAGGTTGTTCTGCCATTGTGTGAGGGTGTAGATAGCCAGTCTGTTGTGAAGCTGCTGGGCAGAAGTGATGATGAGGCAGTGGTTACATCATCTACTACTGGAGCTACACACATCAGGTACAGAAAGTTACTATTCAAACAGTACTAGTGGACACAAATAGCAAATATTTTGAAAGATCATTAAATATTTTTTGAGATTTGATCTAAAATACAAAATTTTAAACGGATTTTCATTAACTTGAGAATCCTATAATTTTGCCCATAATGATGTGTAAACACATTTTCTGTTTTTCTAATATTTTCTTTGTTTGCACATGTACTCAATTCTTTCAGTGTACCAAGATTTAAACAGAGGTTTTCATTTCTACAACCAAACAGAGAGAAATTGTATGATGTTCTTGATGCTCTCAAAGTTGCTGATGCCATTTTACTCATCATGTCTGCTGAGTATGGGATTGATGCCTTTGGGGAGCATAGCTTATCCTGTTTGCAAGCGCAGGGAATGCCATCTGCTGTTCATGTTGTACAGGTACAGGTACAAAACTTGTATTAAAAGTCTACTTGATCTGCCCACTTGCTGATCAGAACACATTTCTGTTAAGTGAGGTCCTTTCTACAGGTCCTTTCTAGAGCTTATAATTAATGTTGCTGACATGATCCAATTCATGATGCATGTTGTATCAAAATAAAATTCCACATTAATATTGATTAAATTGCAAATTCTTTATTGTAGGGCCTCAAGACAATACCAGATAAAAAACTGACAGATTGTAAAAAGATGTTACAGAAACATTTAGACAAACGGTAAGTAGGTTGATGATGTCACCACTTTGAATTTGTGACATATTGACTGGCATGTCACATACTAATATTTGATCGATTTCTGTGTTTGAATTTTAGTGACATCACATTTGTCTAAGCATATACAGGCCTCCTTGACTTCCACCAACTCGAACATCAGTTCTTACCTCACGAACTACGTTCCCTGCACTGAATATGTAGTGGTTCGCGAGCCAGATCCCTGTGTGTGAGTAGAGAAATATGTTTAGGAGCGAGGAAATGGTGGTGCGCGACTAAAGATTTCATGTTAGCGATGTGAGAACCACGGTTGGAGTGCAAGGAACATAGTTTGCGAGGTCAGAACTGATGTTCGCATTGGTGGAAGTCTAGGAGGTCTGATATACATATTTGTATAACAATACACATTTCATGTATTTTCATGAAAACATGAAATATTGAGTGAGTTTTTTTTAAATAGGAAAATTATTAAGGATATACATTTACATGTACATTGTGTTGTAGGTTTCCTCGTGAGAAGTTCCATGGAGTGGACACTGAGCAGGATGGCTTACTGGTCCTCAGGCAGCTGGGAAATCAAAAACTTAAGCACATAAAATATTGTGAAAATAGATCACATTTGAGTGCAGAGGAAGTCACGTTTACACCAGCAGAAGGTGATAGTGTAAGTGAAGCAGGATTTCATAATTATTATTTTTTCTTTATTTTGCCGGAAAATTAGCTGTCAACCTTCAAGGATTAAAAAGTATGTATCTAACAAAATCCTAGTTTTATTTACATATTACGACTTCATGGACTTTCAAGAGACCTCATGGTATTTTCCAAAATGATTGATATATTGATTTCGTAAATGCTATGATTGCTGTTGCTGTTGGTAAATACTATGATTTGCTGCTCCTAGACGGGAGTTTGTTTTATTTTTATATCACCACAAGAAGTGATGTCAAATGATAATATTAACTTTTTAATATAAACAAAAACATATTGTTATAGTCTCTGGCGGTTGGTGGTCAGTGTCTGCCAAAAATTCTTTGTGACTGTGTAAAAATTCCCACAACATCTGTAACAAATAGTAATTGGTGAGATTTTGCATGTTTGTGCCTTGTTCTACATTTTATACATGTCCAATCATTTTAATCATATGGGTTTTTGTATGTACTGTCAGTAATATAAAATTTTCAATTGCAGCATGTTGGCACTTTATGTGTAAGTGGTTACATTAGGGGTCAAGCATTATCAGTCAATGGACTCGTTCACCTTCCTGGATGGGGAGACTTTCAGATGTCAAAGATTGAGGCACCCCCTGATCCACATCCCTTGGTCCTTAGAGGGAAGACAAAGAAAATGGATGCTATGGTATGTTATTATCCCATCACCAGAAGTTGCACATATTATTCATAGTCTCTGACTTTTTTGGCTGGTGCTCAGATGGTTGGTAGCTGGTGTTCGGCATCTGTAAATCTGTTCCAGTGGTCAGTTTCTGTAACAAATGGTAGGCAGTGACATTTTGCATGTTAATGCAATGTCATCTATATTATATGTAGTCGATGCAATACTCACATGGCTGAACTTGCTCCCATATGAGTAAAAATACATTTATTTATGTTCTGAGATGTTCTAAGATGTGTATATTGTTTTTCTCATCGTAGTTATTGTATATTGCAAATACTTATTTTATTGTATTAAGTTATTGTATGTTTAATGTAACTTTATAGGATGAGGACCAGGAAGAAGTAAAACTCCTTGAGAAGGCCAACCCAAATGAACAAGTGTCACTCCAAAGTGAAGTAATACCCGATGACATGGATGGAGAGCAGACATGGCCCACTGAGGAGGAACTTGCAGAAGCAGAAGGTACAGGATTTTCGCAAGCTTTATTAACTTATTTCTCATTTAGGTGTGATTGAATCAGAGGATTTTTCAATTTTTGAAGTTTTAATGTGGTGGATTCAAGTTTTGGAAGGATGACAGTAACAAAATCTTGGATTTTTGAAGTGAGAATTCTGCATCTCTATATTCTTCATATACGAGGGTTGATCCAAAAGTTCCGAACCGTTTGCTCTAAAAATCTTAATATTTTATGAATATTGTTCATATTTGGCCTCAACCACCCCAAATATAGAAGTTCCAACTGCAACTGTGATGACATAGACCAGAAGAATGCCTTGCGCCAAAAGCAGTCAAATTAAAGCATAAAATCCAGTTCGATTTCAACAATGCGCAATTCCATACCTCAATACTTATTCAAACGTCAATAAAAAATATGTGCATGCCTTAGCTTACCCTTGCATCCTTCTCACTATATCTGACTCCCTCTGATGTTTATCTTTATAGTGACCTGAATACAAATTACAAGACAAGACATGCTTTTGAATGTTAAATGAAGTCTGTCTTGCTGTTCTTGAGTAGCTTTCTGAGACAGGTGATGGAGAATTTAAAGATGTGTTTGATCAAAGGGTCAGCAGATATAATAAGTGTATATAAGGGGATAAGAGACTATTTTGCAAAATTAAATCAAAAACTAACAATGAAATATGGACAAATTGAAAAAGTAATTGGTTTTTAGGCAGGCATGACTGACAAATTTGAAATTTGGTACCCTGTAACACTCTTTTAGAATCAACTTTTTTCAACCTCTACAATATGTCGTACTCTTGCTCCACAAACCCCGTTGTCATGTTACTATGGTAACCAGATACCTATGTTGCTGGTCAAATTTATTGCTTATTTTTACACAAAGTGAAACTACTATATATGGGGTGGTTTTGGCCAAATATGAACAATTTTCATAAAGTATTTAGATTTTTAGAGCAAACGGTTCGGAACTATGGATCAACCCTCGTATGTTAAAAGGTGGTACATAAAGAATCACTTCAGGACATTTAGCTTCAGTTTAAAAAATTTCATCCTCCTTAGAAGCAGGTGCCCAGAATCCGTACCTCCTTCTTCCCCCTGCTTTTACCAATTTGGAAGCGCCCGATTAAACTGAATCACGTGATCTAATTATGCGTGATGACTTATACATGATTTCTGTCGCAGTGTTGCGACAGCCAATCAGATTGCAAGTTCTTAATCGGGGAAATGCTAACTGTTTATCGCAGGGGGTAAGAAAGAACTCTTTTCTGGATTTTGAAGCCCTCTTTTGGAAGATAAGTGAACTCTGCAGGATCCTTTTTGTTTTAGGATGAATAATGTGAAAATGTCTTGTTTTTGATTTTTGTTCAGAAAGTGGATCAAAAACAGTATTTTTGTGTCCTACTCAGAGAGCGAAGTTTGTAGAATTTAACTATCTGTGACATATTCCCTAGTACAGTAAATAAGATTTAAAAGTAGTCGGGGTCAGAGACATGACTTAATTATCAGACATAAGACTATGTACACATTTCCTAGATGATCCAGAGTATTTTAACACTGTATATTGTTTATTATTATATGTCTGTATGTTTAGTGGAGCGGAAGGTGTTAAAGCGTGTACCTATAGGAACGTCAGACTACCAAGCTGCGTGGATTGTCGACGACCACCAGGAAGATGATCAGGTATGTAAAGGTTCATATGTTAAAAAGCATATTTGCTTGTTTGTTAGCCTTATACAATACTGAGATTTCATTTGCTGTAGACAACAGGCGATTTTCTCTGATGTTTTTTCCCAAAGTGGCCTGTTGTTCTTTGGAATTTTGTTTTCATGTTAACATTTTAATTTTCAATGCCGTTGTCATTCATTATTTCACCACTACAAATGGTGGCATTGTTATGGTCTCGAACCTTTATGCGGAGGGTGTTCAGCGTTTTGCATCCAGTGGTGGGTGTTTGGAGTTTGGCATCTGTAAGAAATGGTAGGTTGTGACATTTAGCATGTAATGCCTTATTTTGCCTGTTGTTACAACTTTAATGAAACCTATTTAATGTTGTCAAGGTGATGTCTTAAACATTGTTTTTTAATTGAAAAAATGTTTACTCATCTTTGCCCGTAAGTTCGATATGCTTGTATTAATCTTAGTGTCAGTGATTTGAAACCCATATTTCCCAAAAAGTAGGTCACATATCCTATGGATATAATCTGATTTACTCATCTACTTCTTGTTGCTTCAATATATAAAAGGTCATAGCATGTAGAAATTAACTACTTGATTTTAATCACAAAGTCTGAGAATTATGTTGGTTTTGAGATCTCTCCATGTGTTCCTAAAGTGTAGGCAATTCAAAAATTGCTAGCCAAGTGCAAGCATTTTTATTATAATAATTTTAAGCTCTCTTCAAAGTATGTCTTTACTATATGCAATACAAAGAGTTGATCTTAAATATTTTATTCTCTCTCAGATTTGTTTGTCCAAAAATTCAAAATGGTTCCCAAATATTTTGATTATTTGATTTATTCAAAGTATAATTCTTTATTTGCATATAAGTAAGAATTGTTTAATCAAATTCAGATCTCTGCTCTGGAAATAAAGATGGCATCTCAAGGCATTTTATTGGACTTGTACATTACAATGAAGAGTTCTAGGGTATATGAAATATGGTATCCACTTTTCTCTATCACGACTTCTCAATATTTAGGTTGCATGTCAATATATTTTTATTTTGTTTGTTGGGATTACTTCTCATTGGTATTCTTTTAAAGACCAATTTAATTCATGTGATGCCCTTTGAACAGTAAAGCATTCAAAGAGGTAGATCTTGATCATGTTTTCTCAGCTTATGTAGAATCCAATAATTCAAATGTCAGCTGATGATTTAACACTATTTTATGTCCAACTTATATGAATACGAATAGTAGCGTGTATTCTTCATATTTAAATGAGTTGACCATAAAACAGTAATCAAACCGTCAGCCAACAGTAAGCAGTTGAATACGCCAATACTACCTTAGTTAATGCTGTTAATATCACCGTGTGGTGTCCACCTAGATTTGGAGCTCTATGATCTTCAGGGCAGTAGCACCAATCAATTTGCTTTAATCTGCAGTAAGCAGTCTCTTCAAATCAGTCAAACTGTCATGAAGCACTATAATAGTAATAATCAGATGAGACTTGCGCTTACGGCCAGTTGATTTATGTGATATCTCAACTTAGCTTTATATTCTTTGCCTTAGGTATTGTATTTCTTCATGGATTATGTAGATAGAGTCGTACAAAATTGAATTTACATATTTTGACTTGCCTTTTATTTTTTTTATCGGTATTTATTAGACTATTTATTGTTTCCAAAGTAAGGTAGTAATGAGGAATAGCATGAACAAACATATGCTATAAGTTGTACAGAATTATGCAAGGAAATCAGAATTTTTTTATTGAGACACCAGTAATGGTATATGTTTGAAAAAATTGCTATGGCAACATAATTTATGGGGTATAAGCATGAGCACTGTTCAGCCAGCCACTAAAGGAAAGTCATTTACCATATGTCCTCAAAATAATTATCTGTCCACTTTACAGTGGCTAAATTAGATGCGTATTACTCTTCACTTTGGAATATAAAAAAATGGGTTCTGTAGTTCCAGGGCCTTAAGTAGAGAATACTATTTCACCTTGGGTCCATTTTGTAATTGATCAAAATCATGAATAAAATCTCAAGGGGTTACAAAGAGTCTGCTTGAACTCATCTCAAACACTCATTTGAATTCAAAACACTCCATTTCATTAAGATTATCAAGGAGAAATCCATCAAGCAAGCATTGTTATAAAATGTTTGCTATTAGTAATTTAGTATAAGCTACAATTAAAAGCTGCCAGCAACACAGAGCCATTTCAGTTAGGTTGCCATAACTTATATCATCAAAGAGTAATATTTTAAGAATTTGGCACTTTTGCAATATGTAAAATGAAAGCTGTTATCCAGTTTATGTGCACAGTAAATCCTGTGTATATTTAACATTTTTTGCTGAAAAAGTTCAGTCTTGGTAGGTGTTCACTACAGAGATGGGAAATTTATATAGAAGTCAGTAGAGTTTGTGATGTATAGGGTGTCCACTAGAGACAGGTTTTCACTTCGAGAGAGGTGTTCACTCATACAGGTTTTACTGCACATACAATAGTTAACTCCATTTACATTTATGAAAAAGTTAACAGATTTCAACTTCAGTGTATGAAAGTAACTCAATGTCTTTTCTGATTGATCATTATTATAAAAATATATAGAAACACATTGTCATCAGTCAATTCAACAAAAAAACATTAAAAAAATATTGCTATGATTTTTTTTATTCTAACAGTAGGCCTCATTTGCACGTTCACAATATTGACATGTAATATGGATATCAATGTTTCTCGTACAATCAATTACAATTTTCATACATGATGTTTCACTCTTGAAAAGGGTAGCCTAAACTTAGATTCTAAACTTAAATATGTAGCATGTTACAATATCTTAAATCCATAAAATAAGTCCAAAAATAAGTAACACTTTGATAATTCATCTCGGCTTCAAAGGTCAATATATTCAGTTTGATGATTGAGCTAAATTACAAATCGGGTGCTCATTTTACCAATCACTCAACTCTATCAACTATTCTGCACCATTGGTGAAACCCATTCATTAAGTTAGCGTGTAGGGAAAAACTTAAACTCGTCATTGGAACAACCACACATTTATATCACCCTTGGGATACAATATTCTAATCCGTTCACTGAGCAGGCTGTGTGTGTGTGTCCCAAATTGCATTTTCAAGCGAGTGATTAATCAAATCAAGATTAAGGTTCTTTCATCATGATAAAGCATGACATCTCATTTCTTCTCAGCCCTGAGATGAGCTTGATTTGGGGATCCAGGAGAGCCCAAAATTGAGGATTTTTGAGATCCTTCGGCCCAGCTCATATTTCATCTAATTGGGGTAATAAAACTTGTGAACATAGGCCTGTGCAAATATCTGCAATGCCTATTATGTAATGTATTGACATTAAGGTAAATGATTACGTGATAATCATCACACTTATTGACAGTTATAACTCTTCCCATCTGATGTACTGCCTTAGATCACAGAATATGCCTCATAATATCAGTGCATGTTTCAGGTGAAACAGAAAGATGCTATGGGTATCAGAATGGGGTTCTTTTTTATTTAATACTAAAATCAAGACCTTATGAGTTTGTAAATTGTAAGCAAGCCATTGGAGATCCTTATCCAACTGCCATGTTTAAATCTCCTTGATATTTTTTATAATATCATGATTTAACCTTCTCCTTAACAGATCTGATTTGCTCTTCCATGATAAAATGACACCACCCCTTAGTGACATCACTGTGACATCATAATACACATGTCTGTTGCTTGACAAGATGCCCAATGGCATTTGCTACACCCTGGCGTTGCTATTGTCTTCATACATGTTTCGAATACAGGCTACACTTGGAGGAAGCATAAGTTGTCACTCATTATTTTTTGTGACTGCAATTCCTATCAAAATTTCCCTGCTTATCACCCTATTTCCTGATTTTGAGAAAATATGTTTTGAGGAACAATAAAAGGTCAGTGAGGCAAATTAGAAGGTGGTGTCAAATTACTTCAAAAGTTGATTTTGAACTGGTGAAGTGCAGACATGACTTCAGAATCACCAAAAAGTGGAGTGAAATTCTACATTTTCTCCAAGTTAAGTGTCCAAATTCATGATGATTTTCATAGTGATTTGATCTTTTGAACATTATGTATTCTTAATAAAACCACGGTTACAGAAAAAAGCATTTTCCATTTTTTGTAGTATTAATACTAAAAAGCAGTCTTATCAAGATTTTGCGAACAGGATACAAGTGCACTTAACATTATTAATATTCCAAAAGGATACATATTTTATTATTTTTATAGTTTTTTACTCTCATCAGGATACGAATGCAGTAAACCTACATTTTATTCGGAGAATCACTTCATATAGCTATGAATCATGGTGGCCTTCGCAAACTGATGACATGATATATGTCTGCCCATTGGTGCCTCTCCTACTGAAAGAATATGCCTTAGTGTAACCATGCTTCGAACATTGAAACATCTTTCTTAGTCTGGCTCTAAATCTACCGCCAAACCAGCAATACACTAGAAAATTTACAGATGAATTTACGAAAACTAAAAGATTTGAGACAAGGGTAAGAATGGCAAGTTCATCAGAATTATTCTCCTGAAAACTTTCTGGAGCTATGGCATCTTGGAAGTTTGTAACAGGCGATAATGTTCCACATAAGAAGAACACCAAGACGATACAAAGAGATATTTTTGTAACTTTGTGTTCTTTCTTCTGACTGATTGTCATCGCTGGTGATAGGTGTTTTTCTCTATTGAGTATGTAAACTATTCGGATGTTCAACACGAGTAAGATCATGAGTGGCACACAAAATAATAAAAGGAAATAAAGAATCGCACAATACATGTAGCGATAGACCATATTATCACCCACCTCTGATTTATTGTGAAATGTATATTCCACATGGCCGTCATCGTTAATTTGAAGATACTCAAAGAATCGGGGAAGATTATATAAAAGGCACCCTAGCATTATCCCAACGCAGGTGCTTCGTGCAGTCTTTATTGTGCAAATATATTTAGCCTTGAATGGGTGGCAGACTGCAATGTAACGCTCTATTGATATGAAGACAGTGAGCCAAACACTGGACATCTGGGCTGCCATTGCGATTGGCCAGATGAACGGAATGTTCACTTTTTTTGCCAGGTCATATGCTAAATCATCATCGTAGTAATTTGTAATAATAGAGTATGTCACTTGTATCTGCATTGCACATAATAAGAATAATGTATCGGAGACAGCGAGACACCGAAGTAGGTAAAATGTCGATGTATGACGCTCGTGAAGCAGAATGATGAACGATAATGCATTTCCCACAATGCCGAATACTCCGATTAAAGCTGGAAGATAAATGCTAAAAATTGTGATAAATAAAAGAACTTCTGGTTCTGTCGAGTTCGTATTGTTTGTTATATTATTTAATGTCCCATTGATAAGTAAATCTTCCATATTATTGATTCGTATTTCTTTGTAAGGTAGACCATTAATTTGTGGTATAAATGTGAATACATGGGATTCAAATTCTTATTCTGTGTATTTCTTTTTATATCAAATGCATTGATATAAATAATAATTATTCAGTTTGTGTATTGTTGAAATCAAATCGAGTGATTAATTCGTCACGATGATCATCGAGGCAGTAATTTCAATAATTTATACCGTCACTGGATTAGAACTGATATCCATAATTTTTATAATCCACGTCATTAGGAGTAAAAATGAATATATCACGTTTGTTGTCAAATATAACGATCTCGCTCAACAGTTAATTGTTCGTATGCACGTCACATTAACATAAGTGTGAAATTTCCCTCCTTTTCTACGATGCAATTACATCCACGACAATCTTCATGTCACTCCTACTGAGCTTCTGTTTTTTTCCAACTTCAATAACACCTTTTGGAAGTTAGTCCTTAAAAATGTGAATATAGAATTATGTAAATTCTCCCTACAATCTCTATTGTTTTTCATGCCATCGATGTTAGGATCGTATTCATCGTTTGCAGTATGTAGTGTTACTTCTCTCACTTTCCTTATCTCAGGTAGCATGCTATCATTGCATCAGTCTGATTGCTTGCCATTAAATCTGCTTCATGCTTTCAATTTAATTTATTTTATTAGTCCTTCAAAGCTGATCATCTACTCCCTATTCGAGCATAGTAACTCTTATACAATTTTTTCTTTTCTCATTTTCTCATTTATTTTAGAAAATTTGAGTTCATTATTTGGTCTCCTCAGTTATATAAACACCTATTCAGTTATATAAACACCTATTTGTGTTTATTTTCCTTGAATAACCATTCAAATGTTGCATCACAAATTATCCGTTCCACTTACCTCGTGAATATGATGCTTATGTTTATTTTATTACTAATCCGAGTAAGAGGAAGGATTACGTACTTGAAGATCCTGTTTGTATTGCCATTCATGAAGGAATAATTATAGAGTGATTCTTTAAGAGGGACGATAAACCTATTGTCTTTTATATTGTATCCATAAATAGTCGTTGATGTTGTTTTTTGATATATTGACGTCAAACCTGCAACAAAGAATAAGTAATATTACTAACATAAATATAATATATCGGTGTGCTGAAATTAATCAATTAAATATTAATACCGATTCTCTATTCTCTATTATATTTTATATTTTTTTCTCATTCATATTCGAAGTTATTACCATGACAGTGTCCATGGATTAACTTCTGCTGTTGCAAGTATTGTATTGATTTGTTTTCAGATCCCGCTGTTTTTTCAGTTTAATTTCATATTATCTTTACTTTTTATCAGTCCCGACCTATCCTCAGACTTATTTACATTTTCATTGTACCTCAACCCCGGTCATTAGCTATTAAATAAATCGAAGCCCAATGAAATCATCTTATACATCTGATATATGACAGCCTTGATGAATGTTCTAATCAAACAAAGTTTGGAGTTGTATACCATAGGGAATGTCTCTACCATCTTTTCTTAGGTTTTCTGTCTGTCCAGGTGTGAACCCAATTACTTGTAATTCATTTTTATACATATTAGTGAGGTTAAGTTGCACATTCTTTTAAAAATGACTTTGATGTGAAAGTGAGAATTACAGGCACGAAGCCAGGGGGAGAGGGGCAAAAATTCTTCCAAAATCATATCAGTTTTTCATCATTCTGAGCACTTGTGATTTTGGCCATTTTTGGACCAAAATTGTCAAAAGTTAACTCCCCTGCAATTTTTCAAAAAGTGAACCACCCCTTGGCAAATCCTGGCTACGGGCCTGGAATTATGGTCCTCTTTGGATTAGTTCTCCCATTTTTACTGTTTACTTGGCTGATTGAGTATAAAGGTATTCAGACCATAATTGTAATTAGGTCCCTAGGAAAGTGAATTGAGATCGGAACAGTAATCCCTGGGGGTTGAAATATTACAAGCTTACGTACAGGTTCTCTTAAAACATGTAACTTAACTTTCCTATATTAATATATATGTATGTATGTATGTATGTATATTTATTTATTTATATTTATTTATTAATATATAGCTATAGTAATTTAAACCTCAAGATTTTTTTTAGTTTGGCTGTCAAAGCCAAATGCCCACCATTTTTTCATGAAATGGACCAGTATTCAGATTTGTGTCATATCTTATGTGAAGATGTCTCATAGGCATAGGACTGCTGAAGGGGAAATTTTCAAGATGGCTGCTGAATTTTTCAGGAGAAATATTATTTTTCTGATAACGCAAATATCACTTAGCAAAGGAGTTGCTGTTTTTCTAATCATTTAAAATTAACAAGTCTAAATTGTAAGTGACACCGTCAATCAGTTAATTTACTTGATTATCACCCCATCTACTTCACTATGGTAAATCAGTGAGGAGCATTATCTCTAGGTGGCATCAAGGATCACTGTATGCAGGAGGTTGATCTAATTTCCTGAATTATCATGTTTATAAATCCGTATTTGTTTAGAAATATTGTTGTTCTTGTTTCCTTTGGGGTGATTAGTGATGATATACCAACTTTGACTGCAGAAGTTTATCGAATGTCATTAACTTATGTGAAAATGTTAATGTTAAACTATCAAAGCTTAATTTTTCAAAGTCATGTTGCACATTAAAATTTCTGAAGTATTGTAGGTTCATGTAACGATAAGCCGATGTGTTTTTGAAACTCTCCTTGAAAACCTATTCTACTTTTAAGATGATACATTTACAGAGGTGTTCCACATGTCTCATTTTAGTTGTCTAGAATTTTTATTACTTTATATGTCAATGTCCTTGAGAACTACTTTCAAAATTAGATCTACTGGTACATGTAGTTTCGATTGTAGGCCATTTTAATGTTAATGTTGTTGTATTTTCTGTTCATCTGTCCTGGCTGTTTCTCAAGTTTAGCCATGATATTTTACAGGTAGCCTAAGGCAAATGTCAAGAAGGATGAATTAGTTCTTAAATGGCATGTTTATATGACAGTCAGTAATGATTGTTCCATTAAACTAAACTAAACAATGTTCTTTAATTTGTTTTAATCTTTGCAAAGTTCACGATACATTATTTTCTGCTTAAACCACCTCCTATAAAAATCAAATAACCATTAGTTAAATCTTAGCTGAGTCAAAATCAATTCATTTAATTTCCATTAAACTAAACTAAAAAATGTTCTTTAATTTGTTTTAATCTTTGCAAAGTTCTTATCAAACTTTATAGAAAATAATTGATAAAATCAAAATTCACGATATGTTATTTACTGCTTAACCCATCTGTTATAAAATCAAATGACCATTAGTTAAATCTTAGGTGAGTCATAATCAATGATCAGACACACCACGCCTCATTGAAAAGAAATATAGCCCACTCTCTAATAAATACTAGTTATTGGTTCAGATATGGCCTTACATTGGTAGAAATATTTTGAGGAAAAGGTCGCCTCACTTTGGGAAATCAATATCTCATCAGCTAAGTTAGGCTCAGTGATTAATTATCCCAAAGTTCGGTAGGGATATAGTGAAGCCCTTTGTCCATAAGAAAAAGACAAATAAAATCAGAAAAAGTAAGCCTACCTATTTTAGCAAGTAAGTTTAGTATTATTGTCACCACAATCATTGTGATTTTGGTCATTTCATTGATATATGGAACAAATAGAATTGATATAAGGTATTTGGTCACGTAGTAATACAGGAATATCCTATAATTTTGAAAAAATATCATTTATATCCATGAGTGGATATTGATATCTTCACACGAGTGAGCGCAGCAAATGAGTGAAGATATTGATATTCACGAGTAGATAAAATTGATATTTTTTAGAAAAACAATAGGATTGTCTGTTTATCCCATGGGTAATTATTACCTAGCAAACATTGAACAATCAGATTATGTTATTTGTTTCATATGCACCTTTTATCACTTCATCTGACATTTTGATTACAAGAATTCAACAAAATGTAATAAAAGACAATTAAAAAATAATTAAAATGAATGACCCAACACATTTAACCATAAAAATGAAATTTAATAAAAATCAGTTTGAAGAATTAATAGATAATAATTTTGAAAAAAATTGAAATCATGGAATATCAGTTTTTAAGAAGTGATAATGGATGGTTTTGGGATTTTTTGCTGAAATATGATATTTTGATCTAGATATATATATATCTTTTATTGACTCTCTGATGTCATTGCAATGACATATTAGTCACTACAAACTACAATATACAAAATTAAACTAAGACTAAACTAACTACTTCATAGGAAATATACAAAGTTGTAAAATACAATTACAGCATCACAAAATGTAAAATACAAAAATGAGATAATTGTAAAATACAGATACAACATGACAGAATTTAAAACATCAGTGTGGTGTATCATTGTTACAATATTAATCCAGTTTTTTGAATGAATGATAAATGAACTTTGCTAGATGTAAAATTACATAAGAATTTTTATGAGACAAAAGCTTTTTGAAAATAAAGTTAGGACTTCATGAGGTAAGTCTCTTTTTACTAGATATCATTTATATGATACCATTTATATGGTGGTCATTTTTTCTAGATATCAAATATCTAGAGTAACCTTGTATTATACAACCCAGCATGCTTTCGAGTGCAAAATATTACAAAGTTTTTATTTACTTATCATCCTAATTCAGGTTAATTATATCAGTTTCCTTTTCAGTCTCCGTGCCTTTCCTCCAGTGCCATCCGTACCTCCTGTGCCTTACCTCATGCAGTTCTTTAAATTCCCGCGAAATTTACCCTTCTAAATATTTTGACCTGCTTCAAAAAATATATTTCTTTGCGTTTGCTACTGATTTTATTCGTTATATTTTATAAAATGTTTATTTCTAATGTAGTAAAAATTCATTCATAAGAAAAATATTAAGTTATTCGTAACAAACTGTTAAAAATGAATACTTAGGAATTTGCAAGGTCAGAAATTGTTTATTGACACCGTTGCTATGCAGTTCGTTTTGAAGTGACATCATCTCCATATTCGTAATTTTAATCGTCTAATAAACGAATACCATGTGTCGATGTGAAGTTTTAATCGATAAAATTGAATTTCTTACATATTTCTCTATCTTGTTACTAGATAACAAGTTATGATGTTGGTGAACTCGCCAGAAATTAACTTAATATTATTTGAAGCGTTTTCAGAAAATTTTGACACCTCCATCTTGAAAACGTGTAGTAATGTTGATCCCAGTGATTATCGATCTTGACATTTTACAATTTGTTGCTCCGCGGAGATTTTTACCTAAAAACACATCAAATACAACGTAGATTACCAATTACGATGGTAAAATTGTTTGTAAACTTTATAATTTATGTTATATCAAAGTTTCGGCGTTGTTGATAAAGTATTACAGATTGTACTAATTTCTGAAGCTTTCTAAGATCGTGACCCGGGAATTTTAGAACTATTTTAACAACGTCAGAGAGGTAGTGGAGGTACGCAACGAACGAAATGAATTTGAGAATGTTTCCTTTTCAAAGCCTATCATTTTAAAATAACTTTTTTGGTTGGTAGTCATCCTCCGAACACAGGCCTCCAGAACGTGTACCTTGTTCTTCCAGAAGAAGGACGGAATTTAGTGGATGACGTCTAGAACCCTGCATTCGGAGGATGGCTATAGTTCATTCAGAATACATGTTCTATTGTCTCCAACCTATTATACTCATTATTTTATTGAGCCAAAGTTTCAGCAACATTTGGTTGTCTTTCCCAGGTTCTACTGTATGGTTTCTCTCCTTGCCATTAGGTGGCATGTCGGTAGTCTGACTAGTACTGGTACTATAGACATTAGGGTTAAACCAGGCTTAACTGTTTCATCTCATACCAAAGAACTTAAGGTTTTCAAAAGTACACCGTGGCAAGTTAAGAAATAAACCAATACTGATTTACCTATTATCTAAAGCATTTATAGAGATTCTAAGAAAGTAAGAATAGCAATGTATGTGGATGAATTCTCTTGAAATCCAACCTGGCTTTATATAATATTCAGAAATGAAGTTGCTCACCTCAGTTGCTGGGAAATTACTCTCTCAAATATTTTCAAAAAACACTTAATAGCGATATGGTGCAGTAAACAGTGAATAAATGCTTGAGGTCCTTTTTAAAAACTTTTGTGATCTTTGATTGGTCAGAAAACTCCATTTGAAAAAGATAGAATACATAAATGAACTAGTGGATATGACTAAAGACATGTTGTGAGAATTTAATTATACACTCTACTAGGTTTAACATAGTCAAGGTGTACAACCTAACCTAAGATTACAAATGATTATTGTTATCTCAATGTTACTTACTGGGGTGAGAAAAAGTTGATTGAATGCAGCATGCAGAAAGTTTTAAAGGCCCCATTTAAGCGACTTTGGCTTGTATTATATTCTTACTCAATTGTATCAAAATGAGATATGTGAAACTTTTTTCAATTTCAAAAATTTTAAATCTAGAGGTCATTGGTTTGTTTTGATAAGCAATAATTAGCACCAATATATGTATAGCATTCATTCTTACATGTTTTTGTTGAGAGAATTCATAAAATTGATTGATAAATAAGCTAGAAATGAACTCATCCATGTATGAAAGTTGTTCAGAGAAGAAAGCATTTTAAAAATTTAGTTCTCATAGAAACCATTGATACAATTATATATAAAACAAAATATATTCTTCTCTTCTGCATAGTTAGGCAATCATCATTGGTTTATTTTTAAAGGCTTAGCATATTTGAAAAGATTGACTGAAATTTTTCTTTGGAGTGACATTACTTTTAAAGTCATGAAAAATAGTAAATGAATGATATAAACATATTTTCAAACTATACACAGGGCCTTTAAGGGATGCTTCACGTATCTCAAACTGATTAGATTTTCAGCGATGGATTTTCAAGGTGTATTTTTGAATTTCCATTCTAGAATTTCTTCCCGTTTTCTGCTGATTCAGGGGTGTTTCTCGGAATGGCAATCTAGTTTAGATCTGATAAGTTTTTGGGCATGCTGGGTAAATTTCAAAAATGCCATATTGAACTTATACCTCAAAAGCTCTTCTATACGCTGTCAAGGAAACTGTGTGATTTCTGTATTCCCTTATGAAGATAACTGACTACACAATCATCATATTTATAATGTTGCCAACCTTTGGTAAATTAATCTTTCTTGACATTCTATTGATCACCTTGTCTTGTACTTTTATTTTTCTTCATCTTTAAACTTTCTATTCTTAAATGATTTAATGTAATACAATGTACTATAATAGAAAGAGTAAAATATTGTTTGAGGAATACTTCATTAATTTATCTCTTGAATGCTCTGATAGAGGAGCTCAATTATTTATCATGTATTATATTTCTCTATTATTAATCATAGTCAGCCACGCAAAACCGAACAATGAAAAAATCAGATATTAAAAGTATTGAAACATATTGATTATTAAGTAAAAGGCTTATAGACTTCTTACATACTGTAGAAGTTACTTTAACAGGAGCATAAAAAGTAGAATCAAGCAAAATACATATAATGTAAAATAAACAGATACATGTATGGAAATTAACTATTGAACAGTGTATGTAATGTGGAAAACTTAGAAATACATGAACACTTGCTTTCACTATATTACACTACTCTGTACTATAATATGCAATGCAAATGAATAATACATGTATAATAAAATACAGATTTCCATTTAAAGCTAATTAAGATGATGAGGAAAACCATTTTCAACATTTGACAGTTCACATACATATATTTTATTTGTACATGTTCCTATCATTTTGTCATGGTCTGATTACTAATATGGCCATTTCAATTGTTTATGTCACTACCAGAAGTGATGACATATTGTTATAGTTTCCAACTTTTAAAGACTATGTTTTGCTTTTGGGAGTTG